AATTCTTGTACTCGCTCCGTTACATTTATGACTCCTCGTCGGCGGAACGACGAAGACATATTCAAATTAGTTTAGCAAAGCTCCGAATGTGCAGTGCGTTGTGCATACGCTACGGAGCACCTAGTTATAAAATACCGGGATGGTGAAATAAAACTTAAAGCGAGAAACACACGCAACGTTCATTTGTGCGTTATTTTTGTGCTGCATAACGTAAAGCAATACACACCTTTAAAGGCGCTACACACCGGGCTCGTATGCATGACGTGCACGTAGTTACGGCGGTCATTAAGCGTCATTACGTGCGTATAGATGACGTTGTATCGTATCTCTGCGCGCTTGATCACGCCGTCACTACGCCGTACGGCCCGGTGTGTAGCGCCCTTTATTCTCATACGATACGATTTATAATGTCAAACGGTTTGACAGACGCGTCCATCGTACTAGGCTAGCGGATGCGTCTGTCAAACCGTTTGAAATGAACTGAATTTGTATGGAAATAAGGTAGAAATTCGCATTTTCCTAGCGTTGCGGAAAAATAACGCACAAACGGATGTAACGTATGTTTCTCACCATAAAAGTCGCAGTTCTGCTTACTTCTCCAGTGAAATTATGCTTGGCACTCAGTTTTATTAAGTTTTTTAAATGCACTTTGCATATAATTTATGTTTTTCCTAGGTATTCTCATCCATTGCAGCAGCACAGATTTTAATATGAATACCTCGTTGCTTATTAAAACTGTATTTTAAGCTAGATACACACACGATATACACGTTGCAAAACTTGTTGTATATAATTCGTATAGGTAAAATAAAAATCGGAGTTATGAATTGAAATAATAAATGAACAGCGCACTTGTAGGTAAGATGCAATTTAATGACTTTAAGTCGTTTGGGATATTAAGTCGACAGAGGACCTCATACTTACCTATAAATTACATCAGACATACAGAGTTCTAACAGGTACTTACTCAAAACTTGTGCAGATAAAGAACATATACCAAATTGGCAACATTATTGTTTGCCTCTCTATCATATTATATGACATACGAGCAGGATGTCCACAATAATTTTGCCACTTCGTGACCCGTTCTTTATCCGCACAAGTAATACCAATAAAGAAAAATCATATTGCGTGGATTAGTCTGCCTTTATCGCTACAACCCAGACATTGGTTGACCTTCAACCGTGTCTCGTTGGGAAATAAAGAGGATAAGCTGGTTAACCCCAAATTTTCCGAATATTGGTTGAAAGCCGATATAAAACAAAGTCGGCAAGGTTCAAAGAGCGAGTGGAGTGATGTTGTTACAAACAAAGACTTTGATCTTCGGAGCATGACCCGAAAAACGTGATTTTGAGGCGTACTTTTCAGGGTACCGTACCCAAACGGTGAAAACAGAACCACAAATTATGGAAATGGCGCGCGGACAGAACCCTTTTACTGAGGTTTCGCTGTCTGTCTGTCCGTCTATCACCAGTTTTAATTAACCGTAATAGTTAGAGATTTCAAATTTTCACAGATGCCGTATTTCTTTTCTCGCCATGACAAAAAAATACTAACAAATAGAATAAAAAGTAATCATGGGGGGCTCACACACAACGTACATAAGTACATACATAATGGTACGGCACTCTTCGGGCAGAAGTCCGACTCGCACTTAGCCGATTTTTTAAAATACCAGCCAACAGCATGTATAGAATTTTTCAAAGGAATCTTTTATTGGCTGGCCAATATAAAATTATATCCGCACAATAACATTTACTTAGAACCTTTTCTAGACCTTTTAATTTTTCTTTTTGATATAATGTGGTAAGAAAGCAATTGAAAACTGAGAGAGAGCGGAGAAACAGGGAGAAACAAAATTCAATAAAGATAAATAAATTCATGTTACTGTATTCTTTGCTAAAAATATATTTCCTTTTAAAGCACTCGCGATTACTTTCACACATAATAATTACTTTAACGGGTCTTTTCGCGATAGTTTTTTAGGTAAAAAAGCGATTTACCTGGACACTCGACGTTTCAACTGGGTTGCACCAGTCGTGGTCGCGAGCAGACTGAAGTAGCAGCGAGTTGTCATCAGGGCGGTGGGCAACTAGATTTTCTGCTACCAACCAAACCAAGCGTAGTATCAGTGAACGGGTCAAGGAGCATATCGCAGCTGTGAAAAACCGACAGACGCATAAATCGGCAATCGCGGAACACCTATTGTCATCTGGTGCCAACCATTGGATCGAGCTTCATGCCCCAAAAGTCCTCTCTGTGGAACGTCACTATTACTCCAGGGTGGTGAGGGAGGCAATAGAAATCAAAAAGAACCCCAATAATTTTAATCTGGAGGACGGATTTAAATTGTCTACAACATGGAGTCCGGTAATAGACAAAATAAAAACGCGCGATTCACCATCGGACCGAATGTTTACAAACAATTTAAATTATTAAGACAATATGTGGGTAGCAGAAAATCTAGTTGCCCACCGCCCTGATGACAACTCGCTGCTACTTCAATCTGCTCGCGACCACGACTGGTGCAACCCAGTTGAAACGTCGAGTGTCCAGGTAAATCGCTTTTTTACCTAAAAAACTATCGCGAAAAGACCCGTTAAAGTAATTATTAAATATATTTCCTTCTTTACAGTCCTAAAAGTAGCACAAACAATTCACAAACTCTTAAAAGACTCCGTGGGCGACTTAAAAACAAAAAGGGTACACCTGATTTCTCCAAAAATAAGACGATTCTATGTTTCAAAGGGACCATAATTTTAGACCAAAGACGACTTCTTGAAAGGTCAAAAACTTTAAGTTATTAAGAACTTAAACCTGCTGTGATGATTGTTGAAACATTTTTACAGAATTCGTGGACCGGAAAGGTTAAAAAAGTCTGCTGCCAAGGTATTCTGGTCAGATTTATGTTTTCGATTAAGAATAACAAGCTCAAAATGTAGGTACCTACTCAACTATTAGGTACACTCTAATTCTTTTCGTGTGGGAAACCGAGTCGTCCAACGACCCGATGAGCCCTGTCAGACTTTTACAACCGCCTACTTCTAGTAACAGATATCTGACATTGACACCCTGGCCGCCCACCGACACCATCGTCTAAGGAATCATAATTAGACAGCAACCGAGACGTGCCCTCTAAAGCCCGGAAACATTTTTCTTATTGGACAATCAGGTGGTACGGCCTGCAGTGTCCGAACCAGATTGGTAAACAGTTTACAAAGTTTTTAAGTTTTCACGGTTGTTCACAACACTAAAATTATTGTTTAAAACAGGATTATTACCGTGATAATATTTATGTTGATCCCGATATTTCGGGGCGGTTGCACGCCCCATGGTCACGAGTAGACTGGCTTGGCGAGTGATGTCATCTTTCTAAGGGCAAACATATCTGTCTGTCTACCCTCTTTCGGATTCGTCGACTGCGTTCTACACGGTTACTCGAATCACTACTATTGTCACTCACTATTTCAGAAATATCGGGATCAACATAAATATTATCACGGTAATAATCCTGTTTTAAACAATAATTTTAGTTTACAAAGTGATAAACATCAACTTTGTGAGTCACCCACCAAGAATCGAACGCGGAACCCTCTGCTTTGCAGGCAGTCGCACTATCACTACGCCACATCGGCTGTCAGAGTACACTTACACGCAGAAACACAATGAGAGTTTAGTTTGAGTTTCCAGCAGCACTCAAACCGACAGGTAGTTTCTAAGTCAAACTCAAGAGGCAACAGCGGTTAGTTTGACCTGAATGTGTGCTTGTTCAATCAAGTAATGAACAGATCTTTGGAGGTTCAAGGGGAATTTAGGTTAGAGAAGATTTTATTTGATTTGAGGTTGGCAAAACATGTTTTGTTAGAAACACAAAATCATGTAGCACAAGGATTTGGCTATGTTTTATGACCGGTTGCCTGCTTGGCATAAACACTCTTTGAGAATGCTATTGTAGGTGGTGTCACCACCATTCAGCCGAGATCAAAATCTCGACGTCGCCTTTTTCGAAACACTCTAAATTAAGTAGGGTTGGCAGTATTCTTAGCCGCTACCCTTGCCGCTACCACACGGATGTATTCCTACCTACTCTACCATTACGCTGGTACCATTTAAAACAATAAAGGGACAAACATCATCAGGAGCATTAGTACAGGTTGTTAAACGACTGGACGAGAAATTAAAAATGATGGACGACCGGGAATTCAGCACCTCCAAACGATATCTCCCAAATAATACCCCACCACTGTATATTAGCGGGGGGCATTTAAAACATTAATTCGTACCACAGCTCGTTAAGTAAAACAAGTGAGTTATGGCGGGACAGGTAAATCGCGTTAACGAGTTAGAGCCCCGCCGATAAATAACCGTTGATAACGGGAATAACGGGAAGCGCAAAATAACGGGAAATAACGTTAGCGCCGAATAACATCGCGAGAACAACAGGGGCCCTTTGTCCCCAAATAAATCGGCGGAAAATTGAAGCTTATTCTGCGAGATGTAAATTAACCGGTGCCATTGTGAATGCGAGTCGGGGGTAATGGCGAAGTAGCGAGCTCGCCACTCTAGCGAGGTTTATAATAATTTGGAGGTTATAATTACTGACCTTTTCTGCTATTGTCGGTAGTTAGAAGTAAATGAACAATAGCACTAAACGTAATGTCGTGTTTTCATGTGGTCATTTGATTGGACTTATGTTTAATGTTTTTGGCTTAATGTTGAAAATGAAGTCACATCCTAAACGTGTCTCTAACTGGATTAATCGAAAATACTCAAGGTTTCACAAAAAACGTGGCTTTTCTCTCTCTATTTCATAGCTATTTACTTACAGATAATATTTTTCATTGCTATGTGCCTTTTCTTTTCGACTGGGAACAAATTCACAAAATGATGAAAATCAAATAATATTTTAGTCGCTCGTAAGGCCTACCTATAAAAAATGGCGCCACAGAGGAGAGGATAAAATTGTAAAATTAAAAAATTTCCTATACTGTCAAATTGTGAGAACCCCCCGGGATTCGAACCCGGAACCTTTTGCGTCGCAGGCAATCGCACTACCGGTGCACGACATTCGCCGTGGTGCACCTATACCTACCTACCTTTAACAATGGAATCTATTCAAAATAAGCAAATTACTCATCGATATTCCGTAACAGATGACCCACTTTCACCGATAAGGTATAAAGTATAACACAAACAACAACAACCGTTTTTGATCTCAACTTAAACTGGGTGCTCATATTTTATCGCAACAAAAATGGCCGGAATGATTTTCTCCCGCGCTCCAAAGCAAACACAGATTATTGTCATCCATCAGGTAGAGATAAGGAAGTAAGCTTCTGCTGCCGTATTTTTTCGATTTCAGCAGCAGTGTTTCCTGGAAACTTTGCGTTTTGAAACTCGTGAAATATTATGTGAATTCCGAAGCGATTTTTTCGGAACTCAACTGCCGTTTTATCTCGAGTTACGTGTTTAGCAGACTATAATTTAAAAGCTTGCAAAATTTTCTACCGCTCTTAAAGTGCGGCATTGTAGTTGGTAGTCTTATAGGTAGCATCATAATTTTGGGCCGTGGATCGATATAAGTTTTAGATTTGTTTACATTTGTTAATATAAAGGATGTGTGTAAATTGATAAGAGCAGGATAATATGTGCGGTAGGCGCAGTATATGTGATACAATACTTTAGCATGCGAAAATTCAAGAATAAAGCCTCTAGGCTACGTGGGAGGTTATCTAGACACACGGCAGTGTGTCCGCCAAGTTCGAGCAAAAAAAGCGACACACCGGCCGTGGGTTATATTACACGAACCATTTCGGGCCAAGTTCGACCCACCTATAACTCAAAATCTATTTTATCTACGCATATGAAATTTCTAGTATCTGTCGAGATCTACTTACTTATCTAAAATACAAAATTTCATTAATGTACCTATTGTAGGTCTTGAGATATTGACGTCAGAAAATCGCTATTTTTACTATACACTCACTGACTGACTCACTCATCAAAAACCTAGACCACTTCCAATGGTCGTATTGACTTGAAATTTGGCATGGAGGTAGATCTTTAGGTCAAGGTAAAGGAAAAAATCTGAAAATGGCCAAGTGTGAGTCGGTTTTAAAAATAATGAAGGTGTAAATTCATACCCCTAAGGAACTAAAACAAAAAAATTATCTATAACTTCCAATCGTCGTACCGACCTAAATTTCGTTACGAAGGTTTGTATTTAGTCAAAGTAAAGTATAAATGAGATATTTCCTTACCTAACTTAATCATAAGAAAAAAAGAAAATAAACCTTACAAAAATAAATGAAATCCCACCCAAAACATAAATGTGAAAGGCTGCCAAGTTCGATAATATTGGAATGCTTCGCCTATAAAAGAAGTGAGATCTAAATAAGTACCAAGTTCCATACACAGACCTCAGTTAAAAATAGTTACAGGAATGCACATTTGATTTTTCGCAGTTTGGAAATAAGAATCTACTTTCCAAACTGCGGAAAATCAAGTGTGCATTCCTGTAACTATTTTTAACTGAGGTCTGTGTATGGAACTTGGTACTTATTTAGATCTCACTTCTTTTATAGGCGAAGCATTCCAATATTATCGAACTTGGCAGCCTTTCACATTTATGTTTTGGGTGGGATGCGCTATTTACAGATTGCCACAGTTCAATAGTCTCCCACACGTGTAGGTATAGATTGACAAAAGATAATATCTTCCTTTATTCGATCACAGAATTTTCCGCTATCCCGATTTATTCAAATAAATTTTCCTGTTCAGCGAAAACGTTTTAAACAAACGGAGTATCCAAAATATGATACTTAGGATGGATTTATTAGCAAAATCATCCAGAAATATTTCTTTGTAGTAATCATGCCCTATTTTCTGACTTTCTGTGGTCCAGTAGCACTCTTTAACAATAAAATAATAGGTAATGGTAGGTAGACCGGCTTGACATTATCCTATAATTAAAGTGATATACACAACCAAAAACCCTTGGTTCAAAACTTCAAATCTACTTATTTGTCGGATGAACCACAGAAGGTGGCCCATCATAACAATGAACATGCCTGCCTCTATTTATACGTTTGCACTTGTGAGGCTCATTGGAGCTCATTTGAGTCACACTTTACATAAAGTAGCTCTCATTAGAGCATGTCTGTCGGTCGCACCGGGCACCGTAGCTTGTTTTTTATAGGGAAGGCTTGTATGGGAACGTATATTTTTTTGCGTAGAGCAAAGCCCTATAGGTACGGGTATTCTATACATCTACCTGAGCCAAAAACGCCCGGTAGCCGGATTCAACACCGTGCAGGAGGGGAGGGGTTAAAGTACAGTCCTCCCGGCGCTCAGAAAAAAAATCTGTTGGATTATTTTGGACCATTGAGACAAGTTTGGTGTCATTTTCAGGTAACTAGATGATGCCCGATTCATTCCCCATACCAGTTTTTTAGGGTTCCGTAGCAAAATAAGTCGCAATACTTAAAATAATAAAATTTTTGTAGTTAGAAAATGTAAACAAACCAGCATATTTTCATATTTTTGTATGCAACTTGCTTTATAAAAAATACTGTCTGAAAGCCCATTTAATGCAGATTATTTGAACATTAACATTATTTATATTTTCAATTATTTTCTGCGTTAAAAAAAATAATCCTACACGTACCTAACTGATTCCTGCGGGCGGGGCGCAGGTTTCGCTCGGTTTTCTGTTGGGAAATAGTATAAGATTTTGAAGTAAATCAACACTATTTAGTATGAATGGTTAAAGCAGGTCCACTTGAGTCGAAATCGACTGATAGGAAGCTTCAAATCTGCGACAGGTAGGAGTAGGAGGGTTTCAAAGTACCGAGGCCTCGGCGCTCAGAAATAAAAATGTGCTGGTATCGTTTTAACCTTTGAGACAAGTTTGGTATCGTTTTCAGGTTACTAGATGACGTCCAATTAATTCCCCATACCAGATTTGTAGGGTTCAATAAAAAAATATGACGCAATACTAAAAATATTATACTTTAGTAATATACAAAGCAAAGAAACCCTCATACTTTCATAAGTTTGTATCAATCTTAGATAAAGTTTATTAAATACACTGTCTGACAGCACACATAATGTAGATTCTAAAAAATTACAGGAGATATAAATTTGACAATCATTGTAGAATGAAACATTGAAAGTTACAGCAACTGTCGGCAGTGCAGTGTGGGAGTAAACAAAAAACCTGAAAAACAAGCACTATTAAAAAAAAGACGCCATGAACGAGCGCTCCGTTCGTTTTCTTAGCCCATCCATTAAGGCCCTATTCAAACCTGAGCGAAACCGGCGCGGTGCGTGGCGCGTATCTACTGAATACGCGGTATTTCGATTAGTACAAATTGTCAGGCGATTGAGTTCCGAAACCGCTGTAGGATTTAACAGAGTTATACTACAACTGGTAGGGCCCAGTTATGCTAACAGTCACTAATTATCGCCATCATAATACCTATTAGTGTAATTTTTTATATTTTTTAATTAATAAACGAAAAAACATAACACTTAAATTATTGTTTAAAACGGGATTATTACCGTGATTAGGTTTTTGTTTACCTCGATATTTCGGAGCGGTTGCACGCTCCATGGTCACGAGTAGACTGGCTCGGCGAGTGATGTCATCTTTCTAAGGGCAAACATATCTGTCTACCCTCTTTCGGATTCGTCGACTGCGTTCTACTCGGTTACTCGAACCACTACTATTGTCACTCACTATTTCGTAGCACGAGCTACTTTTTGTACAATGGTCGATACTACCTACAGATTGATGGAGTGGCAATGGGCAGTCACGTTGCTACCATAGTAGCTAACATCTGGATGGAACACATATAGGCCATCCTATCAGCCTCATCCACTGTCAAATTATGGAAAATGTATGTAGATGACTTTTTTGTATAATAGGAGGAAAAGAGGAAGAGGTAAAGGACTACATGGCATTTTTGAATAACATTCACTCAAAATTAAAATTTACCTGTGAGATCGAAGACCAAAAAAGCTCGCCTTCCTAGATGTGTGAGTTGAGGTCAAAGAAGATGGATCTTGAAGTCATTCGGTCTTCAGAAAACCAACGCATACCGACAAGTATTTGCATTCTACGTCACACCATCATCCACGGCATCTGGATTCTGTTGTTAGATCGTTGGTTGATAGGGCTCACGATTTGTGTGATGTGAACCACCTAGCTAAAGAGCTGAATCATGTCAAGACGGTCTTACAGTGGAACGGTTATAATGTCAAAGCTTGCGAGACTAAAAAGAAAACAAAAAAGAGGAAAGCAGAAGAAGCGCAACAACAGCCAGCATTTTTGCCTTATGTAAAGGGAGTGACGGATAAAATAGGCAGATTTTTAGGAAAGTTTTCCATAAAAACTGTTTTCACTCCCTTTAACAAAATTGGAAAGCTACTACCAATCGCCTAAAGATCAGCTTCCTCTTCAAACTCCCGGCGTCTACAAAGTTAATTGCAGCTGTGGGAGTTCTTACATTGGTCAGACCAAAAGAACAATAGTCGACCGCATGAAGGAACATATCAGAGCTGTAAAAAACAACGATGCCCAGAAGTCAGCCATAGCGGAACACCTAAACCAAGCGGAAAGTAATCACTTTCAATTCAATGTTTCATTCTACAATGATTGTCAAATTTATATCTCCTGTAATTTTTTAGAATCTACATTATGTGTGCTGTCAGTGACAGTGTATTTAATAAACTTTATCTAAGATTGATACAAACTTATGAAAGTATGAGGGTTTCTTTGCTTTGTATATTACTAAAGTATAATATTTTTAGTATTGCGTCATATTTTTTTACTGAACCCTACAAATCTGGTATGGGGAATTAATTGGACGTCATCAAGTAACCTGAAAACGATACCAAACTTGTCTCAAAGGTTAAAACGATACCAGCACATTTTTATTTCTGAGCGTCGAGGCCTCGGTACTTTGAAACCCTCCTACTCCTACCTGTCGCAGATTTGAAGCTTCCTATCAGTCGATTTCGACTCAAGTGGACCTGTTTTAACCATTCATACTAAATAGTGTTGATTT